CGTCTCCTCGCGCTTGGAGCGGCGCCCGGTCTTCCGCGAGCTGACCGACGACCCGTGCAGGCTCGGCGGGAACGTGTCGGCGAGACTGCGCGCGACAATTGAGCGCCCGGTGGAGTTGGCCAGGGGGCGCGCCATGGACGAGCCGCGGAATTCCCGCGGCGACTTGGTCGGCGCGGGCGCCCAGCTTGCGTCCGCGACGCGGCGGAATGCTTTCCGTCTCCATCTCCCGCTCGCCCCGGGCAAGGCGATGGGATTGTCCTCCGCGCAGGCGAAGTCCAGCCTGATCCTCGCAGACCCTGCGCTGATGGCCGAAGAGCTGAGGGCGCGCTGGCACCAGGTCTTTGCCGCTCGCGGCATCGATTCGGCTCTCTTGGATCAGTGGCTACATGGGGGCGCCGAGTTCAGAGCGCCTTTGGCGCCGGCCAGGGCCCGGCCGCCGCCCCCCCGCGCCTCTGGAACCGACGCGTACTGGGCGCCATCAAGAACTTTTAACAGTTCCGCCCCAGGTCCCGGCGTTTGTTGGCCTGGCGTCGCCGCCCGCCCCTCGCCGCCGGAATCCTCCTCGACGTCGTGCGGGCCCATGTGGGCGATGCGGTTGGCAAGCTCGTGGAGGGGGAGTGGGCTGACTTCGACGAGGGCCCGCCGTTCCTACTGCTCTACTGCCCACGGCGCCAGCCGTCGCGCCACCTTCTGGGAAGGGTACGGCGAGCCCGAGACTGCCCGCCCCCTGTCGGTCACCGACGCCGACAATCGGCTGCTCGCAAACGCGGTCCGGTATCTCAGCGAGCCCGTGGTGGTGCCAACGTTGTCTAGATCCAGAGGGGCTTCCTGGCGAGGCGCAGCATGCTGGCCAACGTTGGACGTCGAAAAGGCGATGGCGACGACCGCGTGCTCGCAGGCGGAGGGGGGGCGCTCTTCTTCAATTTCGCCGCCGCCTTCCCCTCCCACGAGCGCGAGGCGATGTTCAGAATCTTCGGGTGGTCGGGCCAGCCCCCTTGGCTGCTCAACTCCATTTCGGCTCTGTGCACGTGCGACAGCAGGGGCTGCGTGGTACTTGGGGACGCCCGACACGCGGGATTCGAACTTCGACGAGGCATTCGCCGCGGGTGCCCGCTCTCCCCTCTCCTGTTTACCGTTGCGTCCGACCTGCTGATTCGTCGGATCCCTCGTCTGGTGCCTGCGGCCTGCCTCCGTGGCTATGCCGACGACGCGTCCCTGGTGGGCCCCCGCATCGTGGATCACGCCGCCATGTCCCAGGATGTGTTGTAGGAGTGCGGGGGGCTGTCTGGTTTCGAACTGGGTATCCACAAAACAGTCTTTGTGTGGCTTTGCAGGTTCGACCGCGACGACTTCCGCGCGCGTGACACAGGCCGCCCCGCTCTTGGGAGCCACCCCCATAGGAGATAGGGCCAAATATTTTGGAATGTGGCTGGGCCGCGGGAGTGGCGACCATTCCTGGACATCGCCCTTCCGGAATTCCAGTCTCGGCCAGTTGCTGGGGCGGGGTGGGCGCGGGCGTGCTCCGGGCGATGTTGGAGTGCCAGGTCTGCGTGGGCTCGGTCTTGCTTTATGTGGCGCAGCTTCTGCCGCTGCCGCAGACCTTCGGCGCTTTTCTGCGGCCCAGCGGATTGGGTCACCGTGGAAGCCCTGGAGCCCTCGCTGCGCTTTCCCCGAGACTCCGAGCGCTGCGAAGGCGGCGCGGGCGCGGGTGGCGCGGGCGCGGGCGCGGGCGCGGGTGGCGCTTCGAAAATACGGCCTGCGGCGGGGTGGCTCTTCGGCGAGCCTCGCTGCTTCCGGACAACCGGGAGTGCGCGATGGAGCGCGGAGAGCTCGTCCAGGACTGCGTCTTCTTTCACTTAGAGGCCGCCGCAGAGGCGGTGATGCGGGCTGAGACTGCGCAGCGGGCTTGAGAAGGAGGGATGCCAGGGTCGTGCGACGCGGGTTTTCAAGACCGCTGCGCGCCATTCCGCGGCGGGGCGCGTTCGGAAGAAACTGGATCGTCGGCGGTTGCCCGCGCTCCCAGGCCACCGCCCTACAGCCTACAGCCTTGGTTCGCTCCGTTTCTTCGTCTGCTCCTCTCCTCCCTCCTCGCGCCCAGGCGTGCCACCTGCGCGCGGCTGGGAACGGCTGGTCCACGGCCCTGCGCTTCCAAGGCCACGGAGGGTGTATATTGGGTTTGTAAAAGGAGGCGAAGGGAACATTGAACATTGTGCTTTCTGCAGCAGTGCCCACCCTTTGTGTGAAAAAACAAGTGGGCCTTTCCCGCCCTCCAGCGGCGGCGTGTTTGGGGGACCCCTTCGGCGTGGTGCCTTGCCCTTCCCCCCCCCGCCCCACTTGCAAGCGGGATCCGCCACTTCTTCGGTGGCGGCCCTTCGGTCTCTCTCTGCGTTTGCGTTTTATATATGTACATATATATATATATATATATATATATATGCATAATATTATTATTAATATCATTATTGTTATTATTATTGTTATTATTGTTGTTATTATTGTTTTTATTATCATTAGTCTGATTACCATGATTATAATTATCATTATTCTTATTGTTATTATTATTATTGTTAATAATATTAATATTCTAAAAAAGATAATAAAGTGCACAGCGGCACTCGTCATGACTTCATCTGGGGCTATTGTCCGGAGGCATTCCGCGGCTTCCTCCTCGGGGCCGTCCTTGGGTACCACCCCTTTCAAAGTCTGCTCAGGTCTGTCTTTAAAAGGCCCTGTGGGTGTTCCTATCGTTCTCCCTTTCCTTCCTCGTCCCTCCTTCTTCTTCCCTCCTGTGTTTTTCGGTCGTCACTTCGATGGGCTTGGTCAGCCTCTCCTTTCAAACGTGCCCTTTAAGTTTCAGCTTTCCAACACCATTCGCGCTTTCGGCCTGTCGGCTCGGGGCTGATACGCATTCAGGGCGAATTCGTATCGATGGTAGTGTGCTTTCTCCCCCCCTCCCCCTCCTCCCTCCTCCTCTTGCTCCCCTTCCCTTTTTCCCCTGCCGTGGCGACTGTCTTGCTTGGCCGTCGAGGCCGCTCAATACGGGTCTGCCGCGCAACAGGCTGGCAGACCAGGGGGCTGATACGTTTTAGGGTTAGTTCGTATCCTTCGCCTTGTTGTTTCTCTCCCTCTGCCTCCTCCTCCTCCTCCTTTTCCTCCTCCTCCTCCTCCTCCTCCTCCTCTTCCTTTTCCTTCTCCTCCTCCTCCTCCTCCTCCTCCTCCTCCTCCTCTTTCTCCTCCTCCTCCTCATCCTCCTCCTTCTGGTGTCGGGCGTGGCCCCGCGGCGAGCCTCGCAGGCAACGACATCTGGCGGGGCATTCTTTCCTGTGGGACGGAGCCTGGCAGCCGCGACGCCTCCGTCGCCTCTCTGGCTGGCGTTGGTTTTGGCTCGGTCTCTGAACTCTATCCCAACCCCCAGCTTTTCGACGACAAATGGAGCGGCTCAGAAAGGAGGGAAACCTTGGGATACACCCCCAGGAGGCTATTCGGACGCACCCCTATCGAGGATGGACGCCCCCCTCGTACATCCCAGGGTTGGGCCCGAATTTTTCGGGTCCATTCGAAAATCCCACGAAGCCTGGGATAGGGGTCGACCCATGGTTTTCTCGTCCAGCACCTGTCATGAGCGCTGGTCTTCACTCGGGGTGGTGCGCCGACCACCCGGAAGAGTTTCTCTTGGCAGGCGCGTTGATGTCAGAGGGAGAGCAGTGCTCCGCCGACCAGGGCCTCGAGGCGAATTCAGCCTCGCGGCGAGGACTCCCCAAGACGAGCAGCGGCCTCGGCACCTTCTCGCACGTTTTCCCCTCCTCCTCCCCCTCCTCCTCCTCCTCCTCCTCCTCCTCCTCCTCCTCCTCCTCCCCCTCCCCTTCCGAGGACTAGTGGCAACGCAAGGGGGGGATAGGCTCAGTGGAGGACGCGTCGACCCTCCATCGCCCATTGATCGCCGATAGGATCCCGACGGCCCACCTGGGCCCAGGAGTGGGCTGCTTCGCCATCGGGGGCCTGTCGCCAGTCTATTGGCGATGTATCGCCAACATCGCCAATAAACTGGCGATAGGCCCCCGAATTTCCGCCCCGCTGTATATGTAATTTCCAGCCCGAGGCGTGCGGGCGCCCAGACTGACAGGCAGTCGGGTGATGTCCTCCACAGCCATTGAATCTCTACTTTGGCTTTGGCCGTGAAGGCAGGCGCTTGCGCGCGGGCAGGAATCGTTTTTTGTTCCCGATGCGTCTGGTCTGCTGCACCCCCCCCCCAAACAAACTCGGTGGGCGATGCATTCGCCGATTCCAAGTCTCCGTTTCCCCCCTTGAGCTCGTGTCCCCCTTCACGTTGCCCCGTCGCTTTCTCTGCATGGCTCGGCTCCCTTGGCGGCCGCTCGCGACGATCCTCCGGGCACCCCGGCACGCCGTCGGCGAGGCGCGGCCGCGGGAGGGCACCCCGAGGCGCACGAGCCGCCGAGAACCGACGAGGTCGCCCCGCGGCCTGCAGCCCCGGACCCGTCGTCACACCCTGCCTCTATGCCCCTCCGAAAGCATGATTTTTTCGAGGGTTTTCACGTGCCGGGCCCTGGGAGACGCTCGCCTGACACTGTGATTCGACACTCTCTCGACGCTTCCTCGGGCGCTCGAGAGTATTATTATGTCTGGGGTGTGGTCTTCTAAGTGAGATGGGAGCGACATAACCCACAGCCTGGAGCCCCGGACCCGTCGCCATACCCTGCCCCTGTGCCCCCTCCGAGGAGCGGGGACGTCGGGCATAACCCCCAACAGTGACACGTCGATGAGTGAATTGTCCGTTCTCGGTTCGCGAGAGGGCGCCGTGGCCGTCCTTTTCCAGGCCTGCGCCTGCCAGGTTTGGGTCTCAGGTCGCTTTCGCGAAACCACGTTTTTGCTAAAGGGAGGTCTCCTCCTCCTCCTCCTCCTCGTCCCCCTCCTCCTCCTCCTCCTCCTCCTCCTCCTCCTCCTCCTCCTCCTCCTCCTCCTCCCCTTCCTCCTCCTCCGAGGAGCGGGGACGTCGGGCAGTGGGCGGAGTCCGAGGCCCCCGTGCCCGCGGGCCCCCAGTGCCTGCTCGTCGCCGGCCGCCGCGCGGAGGCCGCCGCGGCCTGCGGGGCCGAGGCGGCCCCGCCCCCCGCGCGGGCCTCGCGCGCGGACCTCGCCGAGTACCTCTACCGCTCGGCCGCCCTCGGCGGCGAGGCCGGGCGGCGCGCGCGGGGGCCCGGACGTGCTCTCCCCCCCTCGCGTCGTGGCGAAGCTGGGGGGCCGCATGCGAGCCCTACCCCTGCCCCCCACGATTTCGGAGGGGGAGGGTGGGGTTCACTTCGTTCGGGGGCTCCCGAGCGAAGTGACGCCCCCCCCCCAGAAATCGTGGGGGGTAGGGGTAGGGCTCGCATGTGGCCCCCTAGAAACATCGCGGCGGGAGGCCTCTGGCTGCTCTGGGCCTGGCGGGGCTCTCGCCCTTGAAAATGCGGTTCGGGAGGAGCGAACACGAAACAAAGCGGCGGAGACATGATTTCTCGGAGCTCCGCGCGCACTTCGTGGATCTGCGCCGGAGCCCCTGGCGGCGCCTCCGGCGCGGCCCCTGGCGCGCTCCGTGCGCCAGGGAGGAGGGTCCAGTGCCGATCTAGGAAATCCGCGCGGAGCTCCGAGAGCTGATGGTTATGTAGTCTTGGCATCGCTCGGACGTTTCTTTTATACTTTTGTGTTTATTTTGTTTAGTTTTGTTGTTGTTGTTGCTGGTGTTGTTGTTATTATTGTTGCTGTTGTTGGTGTTGTTGTTATTACTGTTGCAGTTGTTGTTGTTGTTGTTGTTGTTGTTGTTGTTGTTGTTGTTGTTGTTGTTATTGCTGTTGTTGTTGCTGTTGTTGTTGATGTTGCTGCTGTTGCTGCTGTTGCTGTTGTTGTTGTTGTTGTTGTTGTTGTTGTTGTTGTTGTTGTTGTTGTTATCGTCGTCGTCGTCGTTGTTGTTGTTGCTGTTGCTGTTGCTGTTGTTGTTGTTGTTGTTGTTGTTGTTGTTGTTGTTGTTGTTTTTTTTTGTGTTGGGGTGTTTTTGTGGTTGTTGTTGAAATTATGGTTGTTGAAGAATAATTATTGTTGGGCCCCCTGGTGCGCGCCCCCCTGCGCCGCCTAGGCCGCAGCTACATTTTCATCATTTTCGTGAGGAAGCCTCAGGTAATTCGATGTGATCAAGATCCGGTTGTTTTGTTCCCCCCGCTTTCCCTTGCAAAAAACACTATAAAATGACATTTCTTGTTCTAATATAATCAAATTTCAAGAATCCCTTGCAAAAAATAAGGTAAAGTGGACATTCGCGCGCGCAAGACGAAATCCTTCCAAAAGCTTAGTGTTCGGAACGATTTTAACATAAAAACATCAAAAAACCAATGGTTTTTCAACAAAAAAATGTCAAAATCTCATCCCGCGCGCTCTTGCGGATTCGTAGGAAAACCAACACTTTTTAAACATTTCTGTCAAACGGGCTTTGCGAGCAACTTTTTCGAACTTCTGCGACAACGGTTGCGCACCTGCCAGGGCCATCATCCCTGTCAAATAATACCATGCGGGACACATTCGTTTTTTTCTTCGCGCGCGCACGCCGAAATCTCCAAAAACCATTGGGCTTCTTAAGAATTTTAGCACCGCGCATCTGCCAGGGCCATCATCCCTGTCAAATAATACCATGCGGGACACATTAGTTTTTTCTTCGCGCGCGCACGCCGAAATCTCCAAAAACCATTGGGCTTCTTAAGAATTTTAGCACCGCGCATCATAAAATCACACGAATCGCACCGTAGGTCCTCGAAAAACACCTGCACGACTTTTCAAAATTTCCACCCGCGCGCGCTGTCCTTACAACTTCTGTGGGTGTGTACTCCACGCCAGTGTAGTAGCCACGGTCGTCCGCAGGCCACGAAGTGAAGTGTCCGAACGTCATAGGGCGGGAAGCTGGGTGTGGGTGGTGGCGAAGAGTCGTGTGGATATTTGGTAGAGCTTGCACCGCCCCCCCACAAAGTGGGGGTATTGGCTGGCGTCGCATGAAAACCCTGGCACTGGTGAGAACACTGAGCGTTCGGGTTAAGTGATTGTTGTTGTTGTTGTTGTTGTTGTTGTTGTTGTTGTTGTTGTTGTTGTTGTTGTTGTTGTTGTTGTTGTTGTTGTTGTTGTTGTTGGTGTGTTGTTGTTGTTGTTGTTGCTGTTGTCGTTGTCGTTGTGGTTGTGGTTGTGGTTGTGGTTGTGGTTGTGGTTGTGGTTGTGGTTGTTGTTGTTGTTGTTGTTGTTGGCGGGGCCATCGCAGAGTCATCTCGGTTCTCGGGCGGAGGAAGGCTACGCTGAGACATCGACATCTCGCACGCGCTAGGTGTGCGTCCGGCGTGGCGTGTGTACGTGGTCGGTTCCGTGGGTGGTAGCGTCGCCTGCGCCGTGGGGAGACGCGCGGCGGTGGGTTTGGACCGTTCTCGGACCGCGCGGGGCCTCCTCCTAAGTCTGAGCGCCTCCGCACGTGCGCCGCCGGGCTCCGGCCGCCGCATCTGGCGTGCGTCTCCTCCTCTCCATCAGCCTCCTCCTCCGCCTGTCCTCCTCCTCCTATCCGCCGCCGCCGCCGCATCCTCGTCCTCCCTTCCTCGTGTCGGCGTCCTCCTCCTCCTCCTCCACCTCCTTCTCCTGCGTTTTCTCGTCCTCCGCTTCCTCCTCCTCCTCCTCCTCCTCCTCCTCCTCCTCCTCCTCCTGCTCCTCCTCCTGCTGCTCGGGAGGAGCAGCTGGTGGTCCCTGGGACGGGGTGCCCGGGGCGAGAGGTCCCAGTCATGAAGCAGGCACGCCGTCGGGGGTCTGGGCATGTGGGCGGGGGTCCGGGGGGCGGCGGCCTGGTCTCAGACGGCAGCGGGCTCCTCGGAGGAGGCCGGCTGCCGCTCAGGGGCACCTGAGCAGGCGGGGTGCTGCCTTCTCGGACGGCGGCCGCCCCTCCCCCCCCCCGTCGTCCTGCCCATACCCATAGGGGGGACGGAGGGAGCTGCGGGTGCGTGCTGTCAGATGGTACTCCCCGCTCGAGCGGGAGCCCCATCCGGAGTCCGACCACCTGCGCCCATCCCTCCGACCTCCCTGTGGGTGCGGTTGTGTGTGTGGTTCGTTCGTCGGCCTCTGCGCGTCGCCCCCCTGAGATCCGACGGCGCGAAAAACATGCAACACCGTGAAACATCACAACCAGATCACGCTCGAAATTATGCGAATCCACCTGGCTCGAAGAGCTTGCAACGCCAGAAATTGAGACGCTAAGATCTCTGCGCGCCGCCAAGAGGCCTTCAACTGGGGCGAGCATCTCTTCGGCACCCTGCAGTTCGCCTTCGCTTACGGCAGCTTCGGGTGGTGCCGCCGCCCGATCGGCCAGCGCCTAGAGAGGTTCCTCGGAGTGCCAGACGGCTTCGAGCGCGATTCCGAGTTCTACTCCCAGACGGCCGCGGAGCGATGGGAGAGGGAGGGGGAGGAGGAGGATGAGGAGGAGGATATGTTCGAGCACCCTCTCGACCCTGATTCCCAGGCCATCCTGAAGCACGTGTTCGAGCACCCAGATTTCCAGAGATATGTTGATGCTATGTTGACGTCCCTGGACCTCTCGGAGCTCTCTCCCCATTTGGTTCTAGGCCTGTACAAGACGGTGTTTCATGAAGGCGCCAGATACGCTAGGAACGCATTGCTTTGTAAGGACCCCCACAGCGTGGCCTCCAAGTTGATCCTCATGAGGTACATCTCCAGGGCTGTATGGCGACAAGATCGAAGCTTAGCTTACCGCCTTCTTTGTTACCCATTTTCTGCGGAGGTTTCGGAGGTTTGAGGAAATGGCAAAGTTGCTCTCCTGGATCCCTCACGTTTTTCTTTGACGCTGGACGAGCTCCAGTATGCAAACCCAGCAGCGCTCCATCCGCACGGAGACGGGAGTAGCTGAGCGCCCTCCTTCGCCAGGACAAACCAGGGCGACCCCCCCCAGGCGGCCACCACCCCCGCGGTCTGGGTACCCTGCTCCTGCCTGGCAGGGGAGGGTACCCGTCGCGGGTATGGTTGACGCCTCTGGGGTTTCCTGTGTGCAGGGGGATAAGCCCTTCTGCCTTCCACCTGGGCGAGTGTGGCCAGCCACTCCGGCGCGAGTGGCCACCCCCGCCACCGCCGGCAGGCCCAAACCTCCCTCAGGCTCGGTGGACCCCCCCCCGGGCGGCCCCCAGGTCAACGTACTGGGAACCCTACGCCTGCTTGCAGGTGAGGGATCCTGTCGTCGACCTCTGGGGCGCCTGTGGAGGGTTCCCATGAGCAGGGGGACAGGCCCTTGGGCTTCCACAGTTTGGAGAGCGTGGCCGCGGGCCGACACCGCCGGCCGCCGATTCTTCTGTCGCCCAGCTGCTCTCGCTCCATGCTCTGCCCCGCCGTTTCGACCGTTCACCTGGGACATGCCACAGGTGTCATAGCCAGCCAGCCGTCATCGATCTGCTAAATTGTTGACGCTTCGCGAATCCCCACCAGTGCCCGTGGCCCGGACCTTTCAACTCGGCGCCTGCGCTTTCGCTTGCGCCCGCGAGAAAAAGAATCCCTACCAGTGCGTTGCATGCGTGTACCCTGGCAGTACTGTTATCCAGTTTACCGCCAGCCTTTTCCACTCACAGGCCCGCCGCTGAGGTGCTGCGCGAGGCCCCAGCCCACCGCTTTAGGTTAATTCGTCTTTGAGCGCCCCGCTCTGACTGGACTCGCCGCTGGCGCGCTCGCCTGTGGCCGCTGACTTAAAAAGAATCCCCACCAGCCCCCTATGCACCACTTTCTGGCGAGTTTGGTCCCCTGGCAGCTGACGCAATGTACTGATGGCTGCCTTCCTGGCTACATCCTGGTATTACCCCCGCGCCATTTTGGCTGCGCTCCAACACTGGTTGGTTAATCGTGCATGTGCGCGCTCCTGGACCTGGTCCCTGGCAGCTGCTGCTCGCATCCCCTCCCTCACGCCGGCCCGCCCGCCGAGGCGCTGCTGAGGTCGCCGGCCCGCCGGCGTTAGGCAATTCGGCTGTTGCGCGGCCCGCTCGGACCTCACTCGCCGCTGGCGGCCTCGCTTGCGGTTGCGACAAAAAGAATCCCCACCAGCCCATCCAGAAACGATGCCCAGAGGAATTGCCTAGATCAGGGAAGTGGGCAGCACACAGAGGAAACCATTATGAGACATCTTGGGGTATCTTGAGCCATCTTGGAGGTCATCTTGGGCTCTCCCAGGCGCTCTTGGAGTCATCTTAATCAGGGCCCCCCCCAAGAGGCCAACATGTGGCTAAAACCTTAGAGAAATCAGTGATGTGGCATTCTCGCCGAGGCCTTTTGGAGCATCTTGGGTGCCTCTGGGGGGTCTCTTGGGAGCCTCTTGGGGGCATCCTGGGGGCCTCTTGGGGCTTCCTGGTCACGTCTTGGGGCCCTCTTGGGGCATGGGGCACCCTTGGGAGCTTGGGGGGCCATCTTTGGGCCATCTTCGGTGAGATCGATCACAGGAGGGGGGGTGACGAATTAGGCCCCCCCCCACCAGGAGGCCCAAATGGGGCCAAAACCCAGTAAAACCAATGATTTTGGCTTGCTCGCCGAGGCCGTTTTGGCCGCTCCGACACCCCGCGGACCCCCCTTGTCCAGGTCCATGGGGAGGGGGTAGGGGGAGGGGTGAACCCCTCCCCGAAAGGGAAGAAGGAGGGTTGGAAGAGGAAACGCTCGAAGCCACCGACGCCCAGGGGGCTGGTGGAATTTTTCGCCGCACAATCAACCGCCAGCCTCTTGCAAGGACGCCAACCCAACCTCTGACAAACGAGGGCGTTCCACAAGAGGGGGACCCTTGGGCGCGCCGAGGGCGCTGGCCCCAAGAGGCCAGGGGACATGACGGGAGGAGGACCCGGCTTAGCCGCAATAGCAACTGGCGGGCCCAACGGACCCCGCCTCGCTCTACTGTGGAA